ACTGGAGAGGGGTGAGAAATACATAATTTTTTTCTGTTTACCATGAACATATGTAGAGTGAGCATAGCACTCATTAAAAATGACCAGTTTGCTGCAGGTAGCCCCAATTCTAGAAACATGAAGGTGTTGTCACTACAAACATAAGCATCTGTGTTGAAGCCAATACCTTTGCAATGTTCCAGTTAACCTGTCACTTTCTATCAGCATCAATTTTTTAGTAAATGGGCATTTTCACTGCATTGATGAAAACAAGCAAATAAATTACTATACTGGTAGCCTCTCATGGGAATAATACTTTGACAGTTTTTCATAGAGTTTATTTGCTTCTGTGAAAAAATAATTTGAAGCAAACAGTATAGATACATAGTATTTTAGTAACACAATGGGTATGTCAATATGTATATATGTGAATTAATGAAGGCAGCTAGAATAAATTTTGGAGTATCTGTCCTTATGTGTGTGTCTTCTAGAACTTTCTTTAATATATGGATTTTGATACTGAAAAACCAAATAACCTGTGTGGGAGTTCCCAAGGACAAGGGATTATGCTGTTGGCCTTTTTACTGCCCAAAATTTTAACACTATTTTCCAGACTCAGTCTTAAATATTCTTAAAAATGGGCAGTTATAAAATATTTCAGTCCTGAGACAGGCAGGGTGACACATGCCTTTATTCCCAGCACCTGGGAGGCAGCAGCAGATAGAACTCTGTGAGTTGGAAGCCAGCCTGATCTACAAAGAGAGTTCCAGGATAGCCAGAGCTGTTACAGACAAAACCTGTTTCGACAAACAGACACAAAAACAAACAAAAAATTCAGTTCACCGTGCAATTAACTATTGGCGTTGTTCTCACTTTTCACATGAATACATTATCAGTCATGAAAGAAAGTCTGTGGATGCTTTGTGAATGGTAAAAATGAAGCTCATCAGTCCATTAGCATTTTTGTGTTTAAAGAACATGGATATGGCACAGAAGGTCTGAGACAAAAGGAGAAGTCCTTTGTCGAGGTTTGAAGAATGCTACTCTAAATTAGGTTTGAAGAATGCTACTCTAAATTGGACATGATGGCACCAATCTGTAATTTCAGTTAGAAGGAGATGGAGATAGGATAATTACAAGCTTATGGAAGGCATGGGCAGTGTGGGACTCTTTCTTTTTTTTTTTAATTTAAATTAGAAACAAGTTTGATTTACATGTCAATCCCAGGTCCTTTACCTTCCTCCTCCTCTGCCCCCACCAACCCCTTTCCCATCTCTTTTCTGCTCCCCAGGGATTTTCAAAGTCTGTCATATCATTTGGAGCAGGAACTAGGCCCTCCCCCCATGTGTCTAGGCAGAGAAAGTATCCCTCTATGTGGAATGAGCCCCTAAAGTCCATTCCTATACTAGGGATAAATACTAATCTACTACCAGAGGCCCCATAGACTGCCCAGTCCTCATAACTAATCCACGTTCAAGGGGTCAGTGTCCTTCCTATGGTGGTTATCAGACCGTAGCTGATGGAAGAAGAAGCAGACACCTACAGCTAAACCAGAGTTGAATGCTTGAAATTCAGTTGCAGAGATGGAGGAGTGATGAGCAAAGGGGTCAAGACCAGGCTGGAAAAACCCACCACTAGTGTAGCCCATCACAGTGTTCTGAAACTCTCCTAACACACTTCTCCAACCTCCTCCACACAACCCAACTTTAATTGATTATATGTTTGCATTTTAATAACATACAGCTTCCATACACAACTATTATACTATGTTCCTCAAATTGGTTTAAAAATTAAACCTATAATCCAATACGGGAGATCAACTGGAGTCTCTTTGTTGATAAACTTTCCAGTTAATCCCTGGGTGTTTAAGAATAGATAACTTTAAGACAGGTTTGGTTCAAATGGAAAGAAAAAGAAATATTTAACAAGCCTGTAAGTGAAAAGTCTATTTTCTTATTTACTTACTATTTCATTTATGTAGGAAGAAAAACAGGTTGAATTTGGTAAGCAATTGAATAAAGAAAATAATAAAGCAGTATTTTTCAAGGAAATTTTGCAGACTCTTCACCAGAAAGCTGCTTCTGACTACTGTAAGAAGTAAACACTAGATTCCTAATTTCCTAAAGTAATCAAAACACTAGACTATCATCATATATGAAGCTGTAGTAATATATTATTTATGATTTATTAAAGCTTGCCTGAGTATTCAGAAAGTAAAGTCAGCTACAATCTATAGAAACCAGGCACATATCTTAAATCCCAATAGTCAGAAGCTAGGAATGGTGACACACAACTTTCATTCTAGGACTCAGGATTAAGAGATAGATGGATTTCTGTAAGCCCAAGGTCACCCAGATCTACACAAGAATGTATCATTCTAAAAGAGAATTATAGCTCACACCTTTAATCTCAACATTGGGGAAGAATATAAGACAGAAGCAAGGTCTCAGAGAGGCATTCATTCTCCAGCCACACTGGGGAGAGGAAAACAGTCTGAGGCTTGGTGAGACCTCATGGGCACCCAACCAGCCCATTCAACCTGAGGTAGAAGTGAGAAGCTAGTGGCCGGATGCTTTGCTTTTCTGATATTTGGCTTGAAGCTTGAACACCAATACTTTTATTTATTTGTGTTACATGAAGCAATGGCTCCAGTCATTGGTAGCAAGTAGACTTGAGTGATGAACTGTGATAAAAAGGGAACAAGATAGTTGTTTTATTAGGTTCCCACCAAGTGTTTCTAAGCTATGACTGAAGGAAAGAAGATGGAAGTGTGGACTGCTTGAGCTAACTAGGTGGAAAAGAATTTACCAGCTGTTGCAAGAGAAAGGAAAGACACATCCAGAGCTTAACTTCCAAGAGACATACATAAAGAAAGCTCAGGGTTCCACAACGAGATTCCTTCTAGGTTTAACCTGATAAGTTAACAATTCCTATGTATGGAAAAACTAAATGGAGAAATAGGCCATTAATCACAATAAAGTAATGGTTTAAGTTATTTCTAGGGTGTAGCAATAACAAGAATAATTTGTTTGCTTAGATAAGTTATTCCAAATCTGATATCAGGTGTAAGTCAGGAAATCATATGGCCAGTAAATCTGATACTAGCAGTGTCATATCCTGGGGATGTAAAAGTGATTGGCTTTCCTGAATACACTTCATCACATATTGCAGAAAATATTGGGAGATGTTAGATAGTAATGATGTGGTGCTGATCTGACCAGTCAACACTGATTGGCTGAATAATTTCCTTATAGATGGATATAGAGAAGTCATTTGTCAGATCAAGACTCCTTATTAGTTTCTAAGAGATATATACATTTTCTCAAACATTAAAACTGTTTCTCAAACTTTGGCTGCCTTTTAAGACATTAGCCTTACCTGTATTTTGATGACTGTCTTCACTTAAGCCACAAGTTTCAATTACTCTCATTGCTGTTGAAGAATGGCTGAAGTCACCACTGAAACTTTAGAACAATAAAAAAAAAAAAGAAAGAAAAGAAAAGAAAAAAAGAATATGGATGACGTTTTCCCCAGTCATCCAATCATCTACAAATAGATTTCTCAAAGAACCAATGAAAAATGAATCTTCTACACCTTCCAGAGTATATTTTACATGATATATCTACATTAGCAATCTAGTTTTCCTAAGCCTCATGTGCCTTCCTTTTATGTTAACAAAGGGAGATACAGTATTTCCAACTCGTTCTTGATGACCCATCATTTGATCTGTCTCTCAGTCAAGCAACCAATTATCAGAAGTCTTAGCCCCCTTTCCAACTCCTTGTTCTGCAAAATTAAGTTAATATTTGAGCCTTGGTAGGCCATAGTAAGAATTTTGTTAGACCCAACTTTACATTCTTCAATTATTTGCCTCCATCCTTTAAATTTTTTCTCATATGTGTGTTATTAGATTTCTGCCTGTATGAACTGGAAAACTAATTAGTTCTATTAGTTCTATAAGCATTCCATGTTCTTCTTGAGTCACACTTTGAACATTGTCTTTAGGGGGTGCCTGATTTTGAGAATACTTACAGGTTTGCAAAAAAAAATGTTGATCTGTAGGGTCAGGTTCTGAGGGTGATTCGCATACTATCCTATTTGGTAACTGCCTTCCATGAGCCTTTACTACTATTTCCAAGCCATAGTTCCCTATCTTAATGGTGAGGGCGAGAAAGCAGCTTCTGTTGGGAGTGGGGATGTTACAACTAGAACAATAAGACATATTCACTTTATAATTCATGTTTCCATTGTCATCGGATTGTTCCTACAAACTTTCTTCCCAAGTTCCTGGATCATGTTTTATTTCCAAACAATGTTTTCATTTTAACACTGCTTCAGAATTAGAATTCCACCCTAAAACAACCAGTCTTTAAGTAATTGTTTGAATTTAACACTTTTTGTTAGACACTCCTAGGCTTTTTATTTATGCAGTGCATTGCAATACCATACAATATAACACAATCAAAAACCACAGACCTACTTTTCAATTTCTGTCTTCTCATATTATGAATTAAAGAGGGACTTCTTTATAACTTTGGTTTTAATTAATTTCTCAATTATTTAGAATTATTTAGAAAGTGGCTAGAAATGTCAATTTAGAAGACAGAAAAGCCGGGAAATGTCTTCTAAAGGTGAGATTTAAGGCCAACCTTTACCTTAGCTTTGAGCTTTAGATTTATCCCTTCCTTGATTGTATGTCTCTATCTTCCTCCATCCCTCACATTTTGCTATTTTAATGAGATCTTGTAATCCTAAGGATTAAATTAGATTGGAAAAAATTATATTATACTTTATTACTTTAAAGAGAGAAATTATTCAGAACTGTATTGTTTCCTTTTTTCTATGATTAATTTACTTGTTGCCTTTATAGTTAACTCTCAGCTAACTATATGATACATTGATAAATGCCAATATTATGTATGAACTTTTAAATGAAATTATATCTCATGCATATGAGTTAAGAGATTATACTATTCATACTCCAAATTAATTGTTAGTAATTATTTACTTCTTTTTCACAGGAGAAGATGTTTAAATTTTATAAAATGAAATATATTTTTCAAATACTGGATAAAATGAGATGCTTGCGAAAACGTTCTACAGTGTCTTTCTTGGGAGTTCTTGTCGTTTTCCTTCTATTCTTGAACTTGTACATTGAAGATAGCTATGTTCTGGTAAGCTTTGGAGACATTACTTTTAATTCAATTAGTGTCAGTCTAGTTGTTGTTTAACCAACCTTGATATAAGAAACAGTATAGTATTTGAGCAGAATTACTTATTCATATATCCTATATGTATACTTTTAGCCATATGTTGTCAACACTATACTTGTTATATTCTGGTTTATTTTTATTTCTTAGATACTATATGGTGGCTGATTAACACACACACATATAGCCATTTTAAACATTTCAATATTATATAATAGTATAATATTTATCATGCAATACATTCAATATATGATTTCATATATATATATTAAAATATTAAGATCTTAGCTGTTTAATGTGAAACATATAGACTAAATAAACTTTTCTTGATTCAGTATTCCTACCCTCCCTATTTTACATGTTATGGTTGAACTTTTCTTGAAAGTGTTACCGCTGTACTTTGCCACTTCTCTACATTAGTACTGAAATTTTCTTTTCTTATTTTTCTTAATATTTAAAAATATTACATGTAAACATATTTTAAGATATTCTTCCCCTTCACAGAATCCTTCAAGCTCTTTTCTCTACTCATACATACCCAACTTAAAGTTCTTAAAAGCAAATAAATTTTCAAAATATTATTGATAATCTTAAGTTAATACAAATTAACTATGTTGCATTATACATGGTTATCTTGTCACCATGTGTAATACACTGTGTATTTTGATATTATATATTACTATTAATTGAAATACATCACGAGGTAAAGATAATGCCATAGAACTATGCAGACATTCAAAAACCACAATAAAAATTATTAAATAATTATAAGATACAAAATATATACATATGACAAGTGAAATTGTATGACTAATTAAAAGGAATTAGTGCATTAGTTACTATTCATTTATTACTATTTCATTACTTCATGTATGATGACAAAAATGCAATTTTGATGTCCTCCTTATTTTATTTGAAAGAGGCCAAAGACACATCCCAAGTTTCATATTATTATTACTATTTGTATATTTAAAATATTTTAATAGCTGTACAGACAATAGAAGTCTCCCCACAAGCAACAGGATGAGTATGGATGTTGTTCCCATGAGTGATTATGACAATGTTTCCCATTTCTCATGAATTGTTTCCCAATTCAATGTTATATTTTGTTATATATGAATATGAGTTTCCTACTGTTTGCTGCTATATCTTATGAGTCAGCATTAGGATCTTAATTGCCACAGATTCTCCTAGGAAATATTTTGGAGACATGCTTGCTTTCTGTAGTTCTGCTCTTTAAAGAAAATTTGCTAGCATCATAGGTCTTGAATTTGGTTTTGTCTCCAAGTAATTACTAATTTTAAAGACCTATAATTGTATCATCTAAAAATCAGATCACAGTAGTGAATGTGACATACATCAACAGACTTTACTTGGCTATGATTTAGGTAAACAGCAAATCACAGAATTACTATTGGTATGAATTTGGGAATATTTTTCACTTGGTCTTTATTTATGTATTTATGATATCAGATAAAGGAACAAGGTCCTCACAGTATGAACAGTAGTTTCCTTTGATGGAAAGAAATGTGATGAAATAGAGATTGTAATACAAGTAATTCAATCATGTGACAAAGATATCATTCTTTGACCTCTGTCATCTGGCAGAAGAAAATCAAATCTTATAAATCAAACAAATGTTATTGGTTCAGTGTTATGATAAACCACAAGTTATTTTTACCTAATAGTTATTATCAAATTAAATGTTAATCTTTAATATACAACAAATCATAAAACTAGCATAAGCAATAGACATCTTTACATTTAAATTAAAAGTTATTAAATTAAAAGATATTTAAATTAAATTAAATGTACTGTATGTACATTTAAGAAATATTTGAAGACAGTGTACTGATTTAAGAATTTTTTGAATTCTATATATACTGGCCATAACTTCATAATTTTAAAAGTATGATTTAATTATAGAGTTTTCTACTAAAGAGTATTGTTTGGTTAAAATATTTCTCTTAATATTAAATACATCACTAATCAAATTTGAAAACCAGTCTAGGCAGACAAGAAAAGTATTACTTAGGGTTAAAATACAATTACTTTAAATAAAAAGAGCAAATGACAGAGAATGTTAAATACATGTTTATTTTAAATTCACTAGTGGTGTTTTCATTTAAATTTGTATATGTTTAGTAGGTTTGTAGGTATTACTTGCTGAACTTCAGCCCATAATTTTTAATGTGAAGTTACCATATTCTTTTGATCAATAATATTAATTCATTAAAACTATATTTCTAGAAGACTAAAAACATGGCTCAGTGTTTAAGAATTCCTAATGATAATTTGGAGAACGCAGAAGTACATTTCCAGCACCCACACTGTGGCTCACAAACCTCTCAAACTCCTGTTTAATGTCCTCTGCTATACTGCAATGCCATTTGCACACACATATTTCACATAACTTTACATAGGCACACACAAATACATTAAAAGTAAATTAAAAAATCATTTAAGTTTTGAAACTTTCAGGTCATATAGTCACATCATTGCTTTTTCCCTTCCCCTCCTCCAAGCCTTCCCAAATGACCATTTTAGCTCTCTTTCAAAATATGGTCCTGTATTCTTTTTAATTACTGTTTTATACATGCTTACACACACACACACACACACACACACACACACACACACACACACCATTTAGTAATGGATAACCAATAAGTGTTCCCAGAGAAAACTGTTTCTCCTGGTTTACGTGTTACTTAGTTGTCTATATGCGTATAATTGAGACCTAGCATATACATTGTTATTGTCCTTACTCAGCACACGTTTTGGCAACCATGTTGGGGAGACTTTATAAATGTATCTTGTAATATTCCTAGAAGGTGGAATATTATGGCAAACTCATTGTTCATCTGGATCTTACAGTCTTTCAACCCCCTCTTCCACAAAAATCCCTGACACTTGGGTACAGGAATTGTGTCCCTACCCAGCTATGATGCATATGAACCACAGAAACAACAGGCATGGCAGAGAAACCCAAACTGTAAAATAGTGTCATGCATACCTTTGTGGCAAACAACAGCTCTATAATTGGACTTCCAGGACCCACTTGACAACAAGGACTCATGCCTGGTACTGGAAACCTAGCCAACTGCCTGAGGCCAGTGAAATTGTGGATCTTGGAAGAGAACCACCACTGTAGTAAACTAGCATGATCCCCAACTATATTCTAAATATTTGTCTTTATATCCAGAAATAAGTCCTCACCCTTCATCAAGAAAAATTCCCTTTGCAACAGACAGAGATCATTAGAGAAAGCCACAACCAATCAAAATGCAGAGATGTGGAACCCAGCTTATATAACTTCTACATGAATAAATCTTATTTTTTAAAAATGTGGATTTTTGTTAAAAATTGGCTCTTGTAATAAAATACAATGTAGTTCTGCTTAACAATTTTCCTCTTTCATCTTTCATTTTACTTTTCAGAAGCTTCTCTCTCTTGGGTTTTGTCTTTATTATTCTATAATGTCTTCGTACATACAATTTTCGAAACATAAACTGAAATGTCTTTGTCTTGTATTATTGAAACAGAACTTGTAATTCTGAGAAATCAGATGAACAGAATTAGTAGTCTCCGGAGTTATATACCACACTTCAATTATCTTTTGAGTAGAAAATGTATTTGTCATTTGAAACTGTAGGCATATTAATGTCTTGGTATATTTGCTTTTGTTTTAGAAAGGTTAGTGACTTTCAGTTGGAAGGGAAACAGAACTCAGTGGAAGAGGCAAATACTTTGCAAAGCCAGCTAAGTGGCAGAGACATCGCATGCCCAATCAACTTAGCCTCTCAGCTGTGAGGAACTTCAAAGTAGCCACTGGGGTATATATTTAGACTGTAGTGAGTCCATTGAATTGCATTACTATCCAGAAAATGATTGTCATAAAGCTTTGCCTTATTACTGAGACACACACTTTAGCATAGTTACTGCAGAAAAGAAGGCATCCAGGGAGTCAGATGTTCAGTCAGTCGCTGCTGAAAGCAGCCAACCAGACAGGCTCAGGTGAAAGTTACATTTTTATTGATGCTGAAAGTATTAAGAAGCTTGTTCTTGAGAACTGAATTAAGTACTTTCATAACAGTTTTGTTTCATTTTATATTCTCCTATGTCCTTCAACCAAAATGAATGTATTCCATTTTATCACAGAAATGGTCTAGACTTTAACATGCTCAGGGAAGAATCCTTAAAAAAAAATACTCAATATCCTATGGTCTCTTTAGCATGTAACCCCATACAATAACAGAATATAAAAATGTAAACAACATAGAGACTACTGTGGATTTTATAGAAATGTCTTCGTGTTTTCTGCTGATGTTGTATATTATTACATAGTTGTTGAACTAGTCCATGTCATAATTAGTCTGCAATCTTAAATTTTTGTTTAATTATTAATTGTATTTGTATACTTTTTCCATAGACATAAATTAAACTATTGGTACATATGAGAGGATAATAAGAATTCAGTTAATATCCAGTGACTATATTTATAAGAAATTTTATTTAATCTTTCATTGCCGATATGTATATAGTTTTCAGATGTATATAGTTTTGGAACATGACAGATATCTTATAAAACTTACTAAAATGTTTTTGTTCAAATTACTAAAGTGATACAAAACATAGAAACATATTAACACAGACAATAAAATTCAAGAGAATACTTCAAAATTTAAAATATTGTAGCATTGAATTTTCTTAATTTAAATGAGTAGCCCACAGTTAAAGATTTTTAGCTCTCCTGTTAAATTGAAGTATTAGCTTTTTTAATCCTATGAAAAACTCTGCTCATGGACTTTAAAAGTTTTATTATGTTTTTCCTCTTTGAGTCAGTAACTAAGTATGCAGTGTTCTAATCAAGGTAAAACTAGTGTCGGAATCCTACCCAATGTTTTAGAACAGAGATTTAATTAAAGTTGAGCACAGATAAGTACTCAAGGCAAAATTCTTTTAAAGAGTTTACTTTTTCTAAGTCTTAGTAGCTTGCTTTTGACTCATTTAAGCTCCTAACACAAATACTAGAAATATATTACTTAAGAACCACAGGGTAGTGGATAACTTACCAAAAAAGAAACATGATTTCCTAAGCAGGTCCTCCTAAAATATATGACCAAAAAATAATCAAATAAGGTGTGGCCAATAATAACTTTATCAGATTACCAAAATCTCCCATTGAAGTTGAATCAATGCTCACAGAAAACAAAAGCAAATAATGGCTACCAGGATATATTTAACCTGAATTTGAAAATTTGCTTAAATGTAAGTGCTTCTGTTGATAAAATGACACAAAATTTTACCACCAAAAACAAAAAACCAAATTGTAATGAATATAAATGATCCCAATTATCTTCACCAGAATATCAAACAAACACAAATCTTTACATATGTATCTTTACACACAGAGATAAAGGCTACACTAAGAAAGATGAGATGCCAACAAAGTTTCAACACATTCCACTGACTAGGTACCAATGGATTCTAATTAATGGTATGAAGAACATTTTTACATAGGCAATTTCATTTTCAAAAGGATGATGGCTAACTGTACTCAACAATTTTAAATTATATGGCTGTCTTTGTCAATGTTCTATTGTTGTGAAAAGACACATGACCACAGCAATTCTTGTAAAGGAAAATAGTTAGATCTGACTTTCAGACTCAAAGGTTGAATCCCTTGCCATGAGGGCAGAAAGCATGGTTGCATGAAGGTTGGTATGGTGCTTTAGAAGTAGCTAAGAGTTCCATTTCCCCATCTGCAGGCAGCAGACACAGAGAGAGAGACAGTGTGCCTGGCTTGAGAAAATTGAAGCCTCAAAGCCCACCCCCAGTGACACACTTAGTCCAGTAAGGCCACACATACTCCTACAAGGCCATACCTGCTAGTAGTACCAATAACTGTGAGAATATGGGGGCTATTTTCATTCAATTCCACCACAATGTCCTTATAAAGTCATCTATATGAATCAATAAATTTTGGAAGAACATTTTCCCAATCTAAATATTTTGTTTAATATTTAAAACTTCCTACTCATTCTTTAAATGTTATCATCAATACTGTTATTTTCATTTGCAAGCATTTGTAGAAGAGTAGGTAGATTTATATGGCTCAATATTTAGGGAATCTGGAAGGAAACAACCTCAAATGAAAGCTGCAAATTGATCATCATAAAACTGTAAAACCTGTTTTGTTTTGAAATTTAGAATTTTGATGTGTTTCAAGTAAGGATTGGTTTGCTGAAAAATGGAATAATAGTGCATGTTATAGAAAAGCAAATGTGTTACAGAATAAAAATTAGAAGTGAAAAAGTTTAAAGCAGAAGCTAAAGGAAAAAAATAAGGTCTAAGTTAATGACATTGTGGTTACGGGCAAGTAATTAAGATTTTTGTAACTTTCTAAATATACACACCTCCTATATGTACATTTTGTAAGGAGATAGTCACCTAATCTGTGGTCACCTATTATTTATTAATTTTGTATGTATATATTTTCACATTTAGGAAGGTGACAAGCAACTCATAAGGGAAACATCCACACATCAACTTAATTCTGAACGCTATGTTCATACCTTCAAGGATTTATCTAACTTCTCAGGAACCATAAATGTCACCTATCGATATTTAGCTGCCACACCTTTACAGAGAAAACGTAAGTATCCTTAAATTTTTTAATTAAAAATGCTTTAAAAAAACAGAAATATGTAGAAAAAGAATGGCAACTGGTTATGTATGTATAGCAATGCAAGCTTAAGAGATTCTTGATATCTATAGTTTAAGAAGGATTCAACATTCTTCAAACTTTGCAAATACTTTCTGACCCAACAACTATTAAGATAGAAAATTTGAATAAAAACCATTTAGAAATCTGTTAGAGGGACACAAAAGAGATAAATAATTATCCATTGACTTTAAAATTAAATTGAAAATAGATTATGTTGTTATATTTCCAATCTTTGAAAGTTTGCTTTTATGACTCCTAACCAGTATTGGATGTGGTCTTGATAATAGTATATTATTTTATAAATTGTTATCATAGACTATCAAAAACTAGTAGATTTTATTTTTTGTGTCATGGTTCTGGTAGACAAAAGTTGAGATTTAAGTACCAGCACTCTCATAATCAGTATGATTGTCCCAAAGAAGATTTACCATCTTAAAATTCAAGTTGAGGAGCATTCAGCAAGATGACCACGTGTACTCAAGCCAATTTGAAGAAGATTTTCTGGTTGGAAAAAATAATAGCCATTCAAATTTTGTGGCTCCTTTAAGTGGCTCTTTGTGGTCTAGGTTTGCAAAGAGCAAAATTAAAAGCCAAAGAATGAACTTCTATCCACCACATGCTTATCACTGCATTAACTGACGAGAATATGACAGGTCTTTGACTGGTAGTCAATGAGCTATATTATATATTCCAGCTAGAAATGCAGAAGAAAGGAAGAACTTTCACTAAGCTTCTTAACACACCTATGGTAACAGACAAAGGCCTATATGAAATTACTGGTCTTTACCCATATAAATATATTCACTTTAACACAATGGTTATTAAGAAATTTCATTGAGTCTTTATGATTAAAAATTATATTTTAGAAAGTCAAATAATACTTATCAGACATAAATAGCATGTATTTACTGTTATTCCTTTCCCTAGAAATGTTCATTTTTTTTACATAAATCTAAGATTTTCTCCAGAGAATACTGGTACAAAATATCTTTCTGAACAAATGAAACAGAAAATTCATGGAACCGTGCATTTAAGCAATGATAAGATTTTTTTTTCTAATACATTCTATAAAACTTTATTTTCTATAAGACATATCAGGCAAATTTCAATATAAGGCTGGGCAATCTACCTATTCATTAAGTAAAGATAGTTATATGGTAATGAAAACTAAAACATACAATGCATTCTCTAGAAATTTTATAAGGTGAATTAAATAAACATTCAGCCTTTTATTTCCTCATTACTTGAATCTAGGTTGCCAGCCTCAATTATAAATTCCCTTTACCTGTTTTTGTTTTTTAATCTACGTGTATACCACACTATCCTCAAGCTCATGACAGACCTTCCAGCTCAACCCTCCAAGTACTAGGACTAGAGATGTGACTTAGGTGACCTCATTTGTTTGTAGATGCATTTATATCTAAACTTCTGCTTCCCTTTTCTAATGATAATATATAGGAATATTATGTTATAAAATATTTTAGGATACTTTTATTTTCATAGTTTATAGACAATATTTTTAATATAGGATCTTAATATAGGGTCTATATGAGATTGCTCATGAGGCATAGTTTCTTCTCCTTATACGACATCAAATGTGCACAAAACATTTTAACTCTTGTGTAATGGGTATAATACTCTAATATTAAAATGTTCAATACATAATCATTTTGTAGATTTACTTATTGTAACATGAAAAGAATAAATGATCCAGAGGCAGACTTGGGGTTCCAGCTGAAGATCTGGGAGGCAAAGCAGCTGGCCACTTGCTTCTTCCTTCTACCTCTAGAGAAATGCACTGATCCTGTCTTCACAAGCTCTCACCAAGCATCACACTATAGCCTCTCCTTAGCATGGCTGGAGAATGAATGCCTCTGAGACTTTACTTCTGTCTTATATACTTCCTTAAAGTTGGGATTAAATATGTGAGCTATAATAATTATCTTTTAGACAGATTCACACTTGTGTATATCTGGATGGTCTTAGACTCACTGAGATCTACCTCTTGAACCTGAGTAATAAGATTAAAGTTGTGTACCACCACATCCTAACTTGTGGCTGCTGGGATTAAAGATGTGTGCCTGGTATCTAAGGCTTCTGCTGATTTTGATTTCTGAATACTCAGGCAAGCTTTAAGAAATCATAAATAGTATATCATAACAACTTATAATTGCAGGCCTAAAGAATGTAGATCTTGTTTATTTAGCTCCTATTGTTACATTATTAACATTTAATTAGTCTTCTTCTTTTTTTTTTTTTTTTTTTTTTTTTTTTTTTGCTGTTGTTGGTGGTGTTATTTTGCTCAGGGTATCTCACAATTGGACTTTCATCAGTGAAACGGAAAAAGGGAAGCTATTTACTTGAGACAATAAAGTCAATCTTTGAACAGTCCAGCTATGAAGAACTAAAGGAAATTTCTGTAGTGGTACATCTAGCAGACTTTAATTCATCTTGGCGTGATGTCATGGTCCAAGATATCACGCAGAAATTTGCCCATCACATTATTGCAGGAAGATTAATGGTTATACATGCTCCTGAAGAATATTATCCAGTTCTGGATGGACTTAAAAGAAATTACAATGACCCAGAAGATAGAGTCAGATTTCGCTCCAAGCAAAATGTAGACTATGCTTTTCTCCTTAATTTTTGTGCCAATACTTCAGACTATTATGTAATGCTTGAAGATGATGTTCGGTGTTCCAAAAATTTCTTAACTGCCATCAAGAAAGTCATTGCATCCTTAGAAGGAACATACTGGGTAACTCTTGAATTCTCAAAGCTTGGCTACATTGGAAAACTGTATCATTCACATGATCTTCCACGTCTGGCCCATTTTTTATTAATGTTTTATCAAGAAATGCCTTGTGATTGGCTATTGACTCATTTCCGAGGTCTGCTGGCTCAGAAAAATGTGATCAGATTTAAACCTTCTCTCTTTCAGCACATGGGCTATTATTCATCCTATAAAGGAACTGAAAATAAATTGAAGGATGATGACTTTGAAGAGGAGTCATTTGACATCCCGGATAACCCCCCAGCAAGTCTCTACACTAACATGAACGTCTTTGAAAACTATGAAGCAAGCAAAGCTTATAGTAGTGTTGATGAGTACTTCTGGGGAAAGCCACCTTCAATAGGAGATACATTTGTTATTGTATTTGAAAAGCCAATTGTAATTAAAAAAATTAAAGTGAATACGGGAACAGAAGATCGACAGAATGACATTTTACATCATGGAGCTTTAGATGTTGGGAAAAAACTTACGTTAAGCAAACAAATAAGACAGTGTGCTACCTACTTAAGACTGGGGGAATTCAAAAATGGAAACTTTGAAATGTCAGAGGTGAATCAAAAAATTCCATTTGACATACATTGCATAAGGATATGTGTTACCAAAACACAAAAAGAATGGCTGATAATTCGGAGTATTAGCATTTGGACTTCCTAGCCAATTAAATCGGTATACTGAATCTCCGAAGCAGGCCTTCCTGTTTCAATTCTTTCTATCTTCCTCTTTTGCTACTTTTGTCTTTTGGAAAGCACCAATGGATGTGATGTGTCACAGAAAAGGTTGATGGTCTCAGCAGTTTTGATTGTAGTTTAATGAAATACACCCTTGTATTTTTATTTTCACTTTAGAGGTCGAATATCGTTCTGTAGTTAAAGCTGCTTTCATTCATATATTTAAATGCTCATAGCTCCCCAATTTCAACCAATAGCCGAAAGTGATGTAAGATTTAAAATGAGATAAATCTCTCATTGGATGATAATTAAAACACACTTTTCCAGCTATACACACTTATTCATGAATTGTTAATTCATTGTATGATCAGACAATTCTTTAAGAATCTCTGTGAATATGCAGTTGGTTGCAATCATAAACTGGCATATTTCTCTTGAAAATTTAGGCTTTCACTGACTGCTATATTTCTACAGTTAATACCTCCTCATAGAAGTGGTGTCTTTACAACAGATTGTTTTGTGTAAATAGGGCTATGGAAAAGCAGAGTTAAAAATCATCATTCCTCTGGTTACTTCTATGAAAAGGAACACTGCTCATTGTTTAAAAACACTTCATTGAGCACTGATTAATACATTTTCTGTGGAAAGGGTCCATTTCTAACTACCCTTTGGGCAAAAAAGTTACGCTCACTATTTTAATGTTACATTGGACACCTGTAATTAACAAAGAGAGATGGCCTATAGTTAGTTCGTTAGTTCAAACAATTTCAGTGTATGCAGAAAGAATGAAATTGATTTTATATTTTTTGTATCAAAATTCATGTGATTGAAATTGTTGTAATTTATCATATTTTGGAAAGATTAAAAAGTTGTCTTATGTGGGAGAATGGTAAAACCTGTAGAACTAGTTTTGTTTTACTGTTCAATTGTCAGTGAGCTATTTCTTCAATAGTTGGTTTGTTTTGATTGATATACAATACTCTACAAACTATGGAAATCTCTCCTCTAAGAACTTACGGTTTCTGTTTTCTTTCTTTCTTCCTTTCCCTCCCTCTCTCCCTCTTTCTCTCCCTCCCTCCTGTCTTTCATTCTTTTTCTTTATCTTTCTTTCTTCTTTCATATCTATATGCATTTATGTATATTTGTTTATGCCTACTTGTTTATATATGCCATCTGTGTGCACTGCCCGCAGAAGCCAGAAGAGGGTATTAGAAGCCAAGAGACTCAAGCTACAGGTACTCGTGAGGTATCTTATGTGGGTTCTGGGAACCAAACCAGTGTCCTCTGCAAGAGCAGTAGTAAGTGCTCTTAACCACTGAGCCTTCACTCAAGCACCATCTGTTCTGTGTCTTCTTCAGGTTTCAGGTAATTTTCTAGGCTACCTTGAATTAGATAACAAAACTGGTCCACAAAACATATTACCGTGCTGTGTGGTGGATTGTCTCTATCTTGCCACAAAAAAAAAATCACAGTTTGTTCTAAATACATTAGTGTTTCAGAATGTACTCAGTGGACACATCTTATTCACAGTATATGGATCCCTCTGTGTGTGTATGTGTGTATAATGTGTGTCTATGTGTGTGTTGTTTAAAGATATATTTATGATACTAAAAAGAAAAAGAAAAAAGGAGAATTGTGTCTGCTATTATTTCTATCCTAAAATGCAATACTTGTCATGTATATAGTCTAAGAGAGATTGGGTTGTTTTTGTTTTATTTGTTCTGTCAAGATCAGTTAAATTAGAAAACCAGACTGAGTGAAAATTTGGTAGTTTTCTTGACACATCCACCTTGTTGCCCACATTTCCTACAGGTAAGAGAAGATGCTATCCTTTCTTGAATAATTTGTGACATGTTTAAATTTAAACTTGTAAGAAAACAAACACTGCCAAAAACATCTTTTTGGTTGAATGAAAGTTGCCATATACTTAAAAATATTCTTCTTTCCTATTTTTTTTTTTTTTTACTAGCTGACTATATAGTATTCCACGTGTACCTCAGAACTCACTGTGACATTTCTCTGCATTTCTGGTGATTAAAAGTACATATCTTTATTCTAATTCCACAGAATATTAAATTCAGGAATGATTATTTTCTGCGCTAGTACACATTGACCTGCAAGAGAGATTTCAAAGACCATCTACAGTCTACTTCTGAAAATGCTTTAGTATAGATTGAGGAAGTTAAGAGGTTGGGGTTGAGGCCTGCTGAGAAATTATAAATGTGAGTGTGACCAAAAGAAATCAGATTTTATCTTAGGTTCCTTTCATTACTAAAACCGTCATCAAATAAGCTACACCACCCAGCAAGATTTGTATGTTTTCTTTTCAAGTTGTTCCTGGGTTAACCTACCGTCTTTCTTGCTCTTATTCTATTCGTGTATTTTAATTATTATTATTTTATGTGTATGGGTTTTTTCTCTCTATGTATGTCTACTGTGGACTCGTGTGTGCATAGTGTCTGTGGAATTCAGTAAAAGGAATCAGATTCCCTGGAACTAGAGGAACAGATGCTTCTGAGCCTTCATGTGTGTGCTGATTGCTACACATACCATCTACAAGAGCATCCAGTGCTCTTACCCACTGAACCATCTTTCCAGCCTACCAATTCCTTTCCTTTTTTCTTGAACATTGATTTTTAACTTTCTTTCAGCATGTAAAGCAGTAGTATTAGTTATGGAACTTTTCATGCTTTGTAAGTTGTTTTTCTACCCTGTGTAGCATTTATACACAATGGAATTTCAAACACAAAAAAATTACTCGTGGGTTGTTGGAAAAAATATGTGGTAAAGTGACTCAGACAGAAGTTGTTCCTGTATGCATGTGCTAAGTTATCACTTATGTATGTAAACAAGTGGACATAAGACCAGCTAGACTACCACAACAAGAGACAAAGGGGTCAACACCTGAGTTGGGTGAAAACACAGTTAACTTTTTTTTAAAAAAAAAAAAAGTTAAAAAACAATTTTATTTTATGTACTGATCCCAGTTCCCTTGTCCTCCCATTTCCCTCACCCCCATCCCAAACCTATCCACTCCCCAGAGAGTGTGCAGCCTCCCATGTAGCCTTGACAAAGAAAGCTTCAGCAAGGAGGAAAAGGATGCATATAGAACCACATTTACTTTATTATATTTTTCAGTTTTTAAAATGCATTTAAATCTTTTATTTAATTTTCATTGTTTTCTTGCCCCATCAGCTAACATTTTTCCCTTCATGATTTTTGTGCTTAAAAAAAAAACACGAAGGTTCACTGTTTACTGCCTGCATTAGTGTGGTGAAGACAATATACATGAGAATATGCTCTCCTGGGTTAAATTCCTAAAGAAAACTCTCTCTCTTCCTCATCACACATCAGTTGCCAGTAACTCCTCATCAAGGGGTAAGACTTCATGAGCCCTTGCTCTACTCACTCCAGGATTTTGATTGGCCTGTTCTAGCACAGGTCTTGTGTAAATAATCAGAGTCAATGTGAGTCCAGTCAAGCTGGACTGTGAAGCCAGCCATGACTTTTGATTGAGTTTACTAGATCAGGCATGAATTCAGTCTGCAGAGAGGATTTCAATTCAGTCATAAACTGACATTCTTGTCACTAATCCTCTGGTAGTCACATCTTGCCTGTCTGGTTGCTATTATAGTACACTGTGTTCACACATGGCTAAGACTATTCATCAAATTTCTATTCTGATATATACATACATACATACATACATACATACATACATACATATATATAATATGGTTCTCATCATTCAGATGGTTTCCATTTCCTGGATAATAATGACTAAAACAACAATTAACAATGATGTGCAAGTTTCTCCATAGCAGAATATACAGTAATTTCTACTCTCTTTTGAAATGAAAAATCTCACAAACTTTCCCTATGCAACTAAAAACTGTGTTCTCTATTTTAGGAAGTGATAGGTAAAGTCCACACAATATAAAAAGGCATAGTTCCAAAAATCAGACACTAGGTTTATCAATACTTGATCTGTTAAGCTTTATGTGATTGTTTTTCTTCATAGTGATATGTATGTGCATGTGTGTACGCTGTGTACATATTTAGTTTACATGCACACGTACACAAATTACTGCCTTTGCTTAAATAACCACTAAAAAGAAGCAAAATGAGAAAGGAATAGTTTGATTTTTGAATGTTATGAGAACAAGGTAACAAAAGATTTCAAGCATAAATTTGAAAGCACCTAAGATTTTATAGAAATCTTACAGTATGCAAATGTTTGCCTAGTGCTGTGGCTGTGTCCTGAAAAACTTGATCAAGGTGGCCAGGGAATGAAGGAAGGACAGTTTCACAGACACGTATACACAAAATCTGGCATCCATTGCTTTATGTCTTCTGGTGGGAATATACCAACAGCACAGAAACTCAGACCACTTATTCCATTCATAGAATCAAGGAGGCAGATTTATGAGAGAGAGAGCTAGAAGAAGAAAAGACACGTTGTTAGAAAATCTTGGTAGAAGATGTCTGTAGCAGAGCATTTTGTGGTTGCAGTTATCTAGAGAAATCTTTCAGCTGTGATTGATCGATTCTGTACACAATGGTTATAGCTAAAAGTTAATCTTCTTAACATCTGTTCTTGGGTAAAAGGTGGGCTTTGGCATTCCTCTGGCAAAGGCTTTGTCATTTGCATGGGTCTGAGGCATTGAGACCCTTGACATGACCATACACGTGTCAGGTTAACAATACACAATTCACTCAGAGCTTCATCTACTCCCCACAACTTACCTCTAAAGTTCTTTAGCATGAAATAGAGCACAATCAAATGTTGAAAATATAGTTCTGAGAAAATACAAACTTTAGAAGCAATAAAAATGTTGGGTATAAAACATCCATAACAAGTGTTGATTAAAAAAAATACAGTTACATTATCATTACAAATCAGTCTTATAAATTATAAAATAGATACTGCCCAGGTATGAAAATATAATTTCAAAACCAGTGTTTCATTTAGATCTATTTCTTTTCATACAGTTACAGTTATAGGATTTGTCCACT